TAGATTTGATAGGTTTTTCGTAGCGAAGTACCTGGTTCAAATTGATTGGCTAAATTCAAAAACTTGTTGCCTTGGTAAAAACTACTGCTTGTCCTACTAACTGAATGTCCTTTTGATACAAATATTTCAATTTAAGTGCTCTCTGTGTACTTGCAAACTTTCAAGCTGCTGCTCACAGGCATCATTTTAAATCTCTAAGCACAGAAAAAGCATATCATCTTTTAAATGGACCATGCAATACTTTCCCCCTAGTATTTTACAAACACTTGCCTCCAAATCCACAAGTAATCTACCCAACCTTGCAACATAAGCATCACACTGGGGAGGAGATGCTGAGCATCTGCTTTTAATTTTACTTCATTGTCTTGAGTGTCGAATGTTCAGTGCTGCTTCATTGTACTTGCCTTTTTTACTCACCATAATGTAAAACTTTCACAAAGGTTCTCCAACTGTCTTGCCATAACTTCAGTGGAAGATCTTCAGCAAATACAGCAAAATTCTGGGAAACATTAAATGTATAAGACACTGTTAGACCTCTGCTAGAGTATTGTGTACGGTTCTGGGTGCCATTTTATAGGAAGGATATGACCACCTAGGAGGGAATGCAGAAACAATTTACAAAATGGCTCCAGTGAGGAAGAACACAAGTTATGAGGGGTAGATTGAAGGAATTAGGACTATCCTGTTTTGAGAGAAGAAGGCTTGGAGAAGGTCTAATAGAGGTTTTCACAATTATGAATGGGCTGGACAGAGTAGATAGGGAGAATCTGTTCCTGCTCGTAATAACAAAAATAAGATTTAATCTTAGAATAAAAGCAAGGGTGAAATGCAGAAAATCTTTTTTCACACAGCGAGTTATTAGATTAGGGAATGGCCGTCCTGGAAATGTGATAGAGACAGGTTTATTGAGGCATTGGATGGTCTCTTTTTGAATTAAAATAATATGCAAGGGCATGGGGATAAAGTAGAAGATTAGCACTAGGTTATGATGTTCAATTAATAAGTGAGTGCAGCCATGATGGGCTGAAAGACCTCTTTCTGCACCATAACACTTATGAGATTCTGTGAAATATCAATTTTTGCCACTTCTCTGAGTTTCAGTCAATCTCCCAATAAAACGTAAGTTTGGAAATTGGGAGAACTTCAGTAAAACACTTGCTTCAAACTGTAGCCTATGACAAAAGTGCAGTGGAGCAAATTGCTGATGGTAATTGTTTTTCTCCAGCTATCCTTGGGTTTACATATATTAATGATTCTCACTGATTTGTGTACTTTGAATCCTTTGAGATGTGCCACCTCTGTATCAATATTAAAAGGTTGTCTCTGCCAGAAATCAAGATTACAAAGAAGACCAATTAGATGTGCTGCCGTGCATTTCTTTAATTTCACTTGAAAACATTCAACATAAAAAAAATGTACAGAAATTTATAGTTATAGCCATTATGCAGAATCAAAAAGCACTTGAGACTTTCAGTGCTTGAAAGGTTACTATAAGACTGATGTTAATGATGGTGTACGTTCAATATTAATTACATGGCACAATGTTCAAAAATAATTTCCTGGCCCCTCCACCATTGAGATTCTTGGTGGTTTCTGACTCGAGAAGTAAAGTCTAATTGAAGAAAGTTCCTGTGAGGGTTTATAAAGTGCACAGAATGTACAAGAGAAAAAACACACATCTGATTGGAGCAACTTGTGGAAAGCCATCCAGGCAGGTAGAAATGAGAACATTTGCAGGAGCAGGTTCTTTTGACAGGTACTGTTCCCTGATTCACCTTCAAGCATGCCCTGCAACTACAAAAGGCTTTCTCAAAGTAAACTAACAACCGTTTTGTTAAAATTGTGACTGGATAGTTCCTAGTGTGGATGAGCCTTGAGATGAAGATTGGAGGGCAGAGCACTGCTATAAGTAATTGTTTCATTGAATCATGGAATCCCTACAGCATGGAAACCGGCCATTTGGCCCGTCGAGTCCGCGCTGACCTGCCGAAGAACATCCCACCCAGACCTAGCCCCCCTACCCTATCCTTGTAACCTTGCATTTCCCATGGCTAACCCACCTAGCCTACACATCCCTGGACACTTTGGGAATTTAGCATGGGCAATCCGCCTAACCTGCACATCTTTGAACTGTGGAAGGAAACCAGAGCACTCGGAGGAAACCCATGCAGACACAGAAAGAACATGCAAACGCCACATGGCTGCCTGAGGATGGAATTGAACCTGGGTCCCTGGTGCTGCAAGGCAGCAGAGCTAATCACTGAGCACCCGATTTTGTCTTTGAGAAAATAAAAAAAAAATCAATGCACCATTAAAAAATTGTGTTTCTTCTATATCTCATTTGGAAGCTTTTTTTGCTTAATTCTAAAATGCCACTGGAGATTGGTTTGACTGTGCACCATTTGGTTGGCTAGGAGGGAAGGGTGGAGGTGGGGTTCTATTTGCATTTTGCTTGAGTTGGGAAGGCAGTTTGTCCCACCAGGATGAGTGTGTGGTTGGGCATTGGTGCTGGAGGAAGTGCAGTGGGAGACAAATGGTCATGTCATGAAATCTCTAGGCACATTCCCAACATTTCCTGGGTTGACCGTCCTAGCTGTGAACTCAAGTTCATCATTCATATTAATAAGGAGATCAAATATACAAAGTCAAACTGGGCTCTGTTGGCAGCACTCTTTTCTCTGAGTTAAAAGGTGCTATGTTCAAGGAACGAAGTCTAGGCTGACTCTCCGGTCACTAAAGTGGCGTTGCCCCTTTGGAACTGTGGTCTTGCCTGTAAGATGTTAAACCAGGGTCTTGTTTTCCCTCTCTAGTGAACTTGAAAGATCCCATGACACTATTTTGAAGAAGAACAGGGAGGTTCTCACACATCCTGACCAATGTTCATCCCTTAAGCAATATTGCTGAAGAATGACTTTATCATTCACTTTGCTGTTTCATGGAGATTTTCCCCATTTCAATTTAAGTCCCACGTTTCCTATGTTATATCGCTTCAAAAGTACTATGTTCTCAGTTTATGTTCTCAGCATCATTGGGCTGCAAACATTTAAAGGAATTAAGGGAAGTATAAATTATGCCTTTTATCTATAAACTGCTGCTGTAACTGTCCAATAAAAACATTTGAATGAAATGTACTGAGTTATAAAAAGCAGTGATTTGGCACTAGTAATGTACCTAGTTAAATCTTTTCATTGTTTATATATTGAAACAATATTCCTGTAAACCTCTAAAATCCTTAAATCTCTTGTAGGTTCTATGTTGTAAAGTTACATGCAGCATGCTGCTTCTCTCTGCTTGTCGGTGTATCACATGAAATAGATGGAGGAGCAGGTTTCAAGGCTCCTTGAACCTTCTTTACCTCTTCTGTAAGATTGTGGCTGATTGTTCAGTTTAGCTCCCCTTTCCCTCTTGTCTCCATTTCTCTTGATTCTCTTAATTACAGTTATTCACCTATTGCCAAGCTTACAACTAGGTAGGGTGTGGAGATGCGAGCGAGGGAGTTGTTGGATGGTACAGACATGACAAAGTAAAATCACAACTTGACATTAGCTTTGTCCCAGGAAGATGTTGAAACAATTCAGTGCCATCGCGTTGACAGACAGATAAGCAGAAGGACATAAGTTTATACTTTAAGAAAGTTATTTTTGGTCTTACAAAATGTCTGGAGAGTTACTTTAAAACAGGACTGTCTGCTCAAATGTAGGCCTAACAGACAGCCACAAATTTGTTGATCTATTAAAAGTTATGCACAGGGCAGAATTTAGAAGAAAAAAGTCACAATGCCATTTTTCAGTGTAAAAACAATAATACCACATTACGGAATGCTTGTTTTTCCCACTCCAGCATACCCACCATCACCTTCCTCTTCCTTGAACTGATTTAAGTCACAATCTCTCAAACTGATGCTCAGCTTTGAAGTACACAATTTCTTTACAACTTATCTACATTCTCATAAATGTTCAAAAAATCCATAGATATTTCGTATGTTGTGTATATTTATCCAGCAATATATTGAAGGTTGTATAGCCATACATACTTGTTTTATAATGACCTCTTTCAATCCTCAAAAAATATCAAAATGCTGAAATTACTTCTCCATTTGAAAAAAGGAAAGTTGGTTAATGTTTTACATAGCAAACCCCTCGATCACTAATCTAATTCTAATAAATGCTGACCCAACGATGAAACACAAGCCTGTTTTATTTGAGTCATCTTTCCCAATTCCCAGGGTTTACATTTTGTCACACTCACATTGCTGATGTGCAGCTAAACTTTGCAACATGGGTTTCAGTCACTATTTGATGCTCATACATTAATAAGAGATCCCATGATCAAACAGACCTTCTGACGGGGAGGGTGGGGTGTGAAAGTGAAAAGCTGTTGATTTAATATGGTTTTCTTTGAATGGATGCTGGGCTCTTCTTCCCAAAGAAAGTAGTGTTGGAAATTACAAAGGGTTTAAAAAAGAAAGCCACTCGTAAACAACATCCAAAAATAGCTCTTGTGGTAGCTCCAGTGAAAATATAGCAGAGCTTCTTTAAATGTACAACATCTTCCACCTGCCCAGCATCCTTCCTGAGATCTTGATTGAATCTAATAATGTTACTTTCTGAACAGTTTAATATATACACAGACACATGTATTAAGCGTAAAAAGGGATCATTTCGCTGTATTCACTTTACAGCATAGCATTAGAAACACTTCTGTATAATTCTTACTACTTAAAGGTTGGATACTTTAAAAAGCTGACAGTTTACTGTTCCAGCATTTAAAACAGTGAATTCTAAATAGCTTCTGAACCCAAGTATGCTCTAATGAGGCATTTTAGTCGCTCTATTTTGTGTCCATATTAACTGGTTAAAAATTCCCTTGCAAACCAAACTCTGTCCTGTTAATTCGGAGTGATCCCACCTCATCCCTCAACCCCTGTACCCCCCCATCCCCAACCATTCATTTCCCAACTCCCAAACCCCCCCATTTCCCTGATCAGTTATTTTCGTTCAAATATCTAAGTCTTCAGTGTGTGGCTTCACACTCTGATTCCCTTACTGCCTGCACTAGAAATGTGAGATTCCAGTTTCTTCTGATTCATACTTTGGATTCGTTTTCTAAGTTTGTAACCTCGCCATTCTGCTCGGATTGCTCCTCATGGTGTTTGTCCTCTGGTTGCACCTCCCCTTCCTCCTCCTCCTCCTCCTCCGCCTCCTCCTCCTCCTCGTTTAGCTTGGTGGAGACTGACCAGGTGAGGGGCAGTTCCACCTTGCTGTTCATCTCCGCCAACTCTTTGGCGCTGCAGGATGGTGTCTTTATCTCATAGGTCTCATGAAAGTTGTTGTAATCAACCTCATAAAATCCCTCCTCCAATGATAGGACAGGCATGAAGCGGTAACCCCACAGGATTTCATTGGTAACGTATGAACTCCGTGCTTGGCATGTCATACCTATGTGAAAAGAAAGGCACCAGTAAATACTTATTTTTCTTTTGTGTCTACATAATTATACAGACCTCATTGTTTCTGGAGATTTATCTACTTTTACCTTTGTAACTAGGCATAGAGTCATACAGCATAGAAACAGAGCCTTCAGTCCAACCAGTCCATGCCGAACATAATCCCAAACTAAACACATCCCACCTGCCTGCGCTTGACCTATATCCCTGTAAACATTTATCATTTGCATACTTATCTAAATGTCTTTTACGTTATAACTACATCTGCATCCACCACTTCGTCTGGAAGTTTATTCCACCCACAAACCACTCTCTGTGTAAAAAAGTTGCCCTGTGTGAATAAACAATACATTTCCCTTCTCATTCTGCCCTTTAGCCAAGCTTCACTTATAAAGGGCATTGATGAGAACATATCTGGAGTACAATGTGCAATACTGGTCACTATTTACAGAAGGATGTTAATGAGTTGGAAGCAATTCAGAAAAGGTTTACTAGAATAATACCTGGAATGAGTGGATTGCCTTATGAGGAAAAGCTAGGCCTCTATCATCTGAAATTTAGAAGGGTCAGAGGTGATTTAATTGAAACATGTAAGGACTTGAGGGGACTTGACTGAGTGGATGTTGAAAGGATGTTTCATCTTGTAGAACTAAAGGCCATAGCTTAAAAATAAGAGGTCTCCCACTTAAGACAGAGATGAGGAAACTTTTTTTTCTCTCTAAGTCTCGAAGTTTTGGAATTCCCTTCCTTTAAAGGCAATGGATGCAGAATCTTTAAATATTTTTAAGGCAGAAGTGGATAGATTCTTGATTGCCAAGGGAACAAAAGATTATTGAGAATGTAGGAATGTGGAGTTAAGGATAAATTAAGTCAGCCATGACCTTAGTGAATGGTGGAGCAGGCTGGAAGGCCTGAGTGGCATAATCTTATTCCTTGCTTGTGTATTTGTATTGGTCACCTGATCTAATATCTCCCTCTGTGACTCGCCAACACTTTTAGTCTGACTACGTTCCTGTGGAACACCTCGTGACATTTTACTTTGTTAGAAATGGCATAGAAATGTGATTTGTTTTTGCTGAATGGTTTGAATTTACCAGTGAAAATAGCAATCGTACAATCTTCATATGCAGGTATTAACAGTTGTACAGTATAGTTTAACAAACAAATTGACCCTATTCTTTGATCAGTGCTGAAGTGATAGCTCTTACCTCAAAGAAGGTGCCACAAAGATCAAGTGATTTTTTGTTACATATGCATATACATGACAGGATTTCCCTTTTCCTGATATTACTTTGATTCTGGCACCAATTATACGGCATTGTCTGGCACCTAACAAATGCAATATCATCAGGTAGGCAATGCAAACAATCACACTGGAAATGTTGCTCAGCAAATCAGAAGGTAAAATGCAAAGATAATTACGTACTTTGTACAATTTCAGGGCTAGGACATTTGGAATAAGATGGTAACTGAAATAGTGTAATCAAATGTTAAAGACAAATCATTTTTATTGTATTTTATAAAAATGGCATTCAACAAACATAAAATTAGTTTTTCAAGGCTCAAAAAATTGTTCAGCAATGGTATGGCTTGATATACCAATAAAAACCCAAGTGCACTTCATTCAATATGTTTTGTTTTTGGAGCTTGTTTTAGTAATGATATTAAGCACAAAAGGGAAAGTTGACATGAGTTCAAATGGTTTTGAATGGTTGCTGTTGGGGGCAAATAAGCACTGTACCCTGTACAGAAGCAAAGAACCTGTGACAGCCACCAAAATAAAAACACAGAACTTCAGACACTGGAAATCTGAAACAAAAACAGAGAGTGCTGGAGGAATTCAGCGGGTCTGCCAGCGTCTGTAGAGAGAAAAACAGAGTTGATGTCTCAAGTCCAGTGACCCTTTGTCAGTTTTCTGACAAACATTGATTATTTGATTATTTCCTAAGTGGAAGTTTTAGGCTGTTGAAATTGAGGTTCAGTAGGAAGCTGCCCATGACTTTACCTGCATTTCACTATCATGGCGTCCTGCAAAACCATATGATCATTTTTTAGAAGGATCACTTTAGAGTCATAGAGCACTGGAACAGACATTTTGGTCCAATGCGTCCATGCTGACCAGGTATCCTAAACTGAACTAGTCCCATTTGCCTGCTTTTGACCCATAGCCCTCTAAACCTTTCCTATCCATGTACCTGTCCAAATGCCTTTTAAATGTCATAATTGTACTGGCCTCTATCACTTCTTCTGGCAGCTTGTTCCATATATGCACCACTCCCTGTGTGGAAAAAGTTGTCCCTCAGGTCCATTTTAAATATTTCCTTTCTCACCTTAAACCTATGCCCTCAAGTACTGGACACCCTTACACTGGGAAAAAGCCCTTGGGTATTCACGTTATCTACGCCCCTCAAGATTTCACAAACATCTATAGTGTTGCTCTCAGCCCCATACACCCCATGGGAAAAAAGTGCCAGCCTATCCAAGATCTCCTCATAAGTCAAACATTCCTGTCTCAGTAATGTCCTTGTAAATCTTTTTTGCACTCTTAACAGTTTAATAACATCCTTCCTGTAGCAGGGTGACCAGAATTGTATGCAGTACCCCAAATGTGGCCTTACCAATGTGTTGTACAGCTGTAACATGACGTCCCAACTCCTTTAATCAATGCTCTGACTGATGAAGGCACGTGTGCTTTCTTCACCATCCTGTCAACCTGTGATGCCACTTTCAAAGAACTGTGTATTTGCACCTCTAGGTCTCTCTGTTCGACAACACTCTCCAGGGCCCTACTATTAACTGTGTAGATTCCATCCTGGTGTGTCTTACCAAATGCATCACCTCGCATTTATCTGAATTGAATGCCATCTGCCTCTCCTTGGCCCACTGGCCCAGATGGACAAGATTAAGATATTTAGACAGACATTTTCTGACCAATTTTATTATGTTTAACTTTCAAATATAATCCGTTATAGTTGGCATGCTTGCTGGAATATATGAACCTCTAGGCTTACACTTGGTCCTTGCACCTATTATATTCTGATCCTAATTTGTCAGTAAGGGTATCTCAACTACCTCCACACAATGGGAGAAGGGGAAAGTCATCTCTCAGTAACATAATTTAGGATTTCATTGTAATAATGGGCAGAGAATTGTTATCTAAATGCTTTCCACATTTAGGTTCATATTGGCAAAAGCAGTTTCTTGGCTTTGATATGGTTGTTGGTTATATCTGAACAAAATTATTATGGAGCTGCTCTGGCTCAACAGTTGCACTGGTGAGTGTCAAATCCTTCTAATATGATTTTCCAGATATACTTAATACCGCTTTGTGCTGATAAATTGCTGAAGAGAATAAAATTGCAGCCTGTGATTCTCCACCCATTGAAATGCATGCTCAAGGCATCAACACTGAAAGTACCAGTACACAACTAGGATGTCAAAGCAGGCTCACCATTTCCAATGAAGAATGTTACGGAAGTAAAGAACATTCATAAAACTAGAGCATGCAAAGGAAATGTAGCTTTGCTTACTATGGAGTAAAGGGTCAATTGTACCTTAATCTTAAAGTATCTACTGTCAGATGCAAAAGGAGCTATGTTATTATAATGTTAGATTGCATAGAAATGAAGCTCAAATTTGTAAGGTTCCAGCAGGATGTTCACTCTTATCATACCTTTAAAAAGCCTGTTAATGATCACTCAATGAGTGTAGATCTCATATGAAGCAATGATAACGGGATCCATGGAACTGGAGACGAGTAGCGCTGAGCACCCAAAATGAAGACCAGTGCCAGGACAGCAATAATGGTAAATCCTAAGGACAGCATAAGCTTGAGGAATGGAGGAAATACCTGAACAGATGCTTGGAGATGACAGGAAGCACCAAGCTATGCATTTCGAGGCACACTGAAGCACAGAGAGGGAAAGTCCATACAAAAGACAGTGTGACAAGCAAGAAGAAGAATGAAATCAGTCCCAAAGAGTAAACCATTACAATGAAACAGAAATACCTGCAGGTTTGGGACAGAAATGAGCACTCCACAAATCCACCAATGGCAAGTGCACTAAAGAGCAGGGCACAGCTAACTACATTAAGAAATGCCACCAACGGAAATTCAAGCAACTAGTTTTATAGATACCAAGTCTCTTGGGGAGGTGATGGCCTGGTGGTATCGCTGGATTGTTAATCCAGAGACTAAGGTAATATCCTGGGGACCTGGGTTCGAATCCCACCACGGCAGCTGGTGGATTTTGAATTCAATAAAAATCTGGAGTTAAGAGTCTAATGATGACCACAGATCCATCTGGTTCACTAATGCTCTTCAGGGAAGGAAATCTGTCATCCCCACCTGGTCTGTCCTACATATGACCTAGAACCACAGCAATGTGGTTGACTATTGAGTGCCCTCTGGGTAATTAGGGACGGGTAATAAATGCTGCCTAGCCGGCAATGTCCTCATCCCATGAACGAATAAAGAAAATCGCTGCAGAAGCAGCATAGAAAATTAAAAGCAGCTCATGATCAGCAGTCCCTGGGTATCCCAGCAGGAGAGAACAAAAGGACAGGATTAACTTTTCCTTGGGGAATGCGACAGGCTCTAATTGCACAGATCCATAAGTGCAAACTTTGTATGCAAAATCATGGCTAATGACAAGAAAACTATTTTTTAATTGGATGTGGGGCAGATGTATTGATAACTTTTAGAGGCTAGGATAAGTTGCATGACTGGCAGCTGGAATGTAAAAGTACACCTCATCAACACATCATACGCTCACTTGAAATGTTCACACTCAACAATGGAGGGGTCAAACTGTGTAGCTTGGCAAGATTTTGTATGTCTTGACACAGCTTGGATTTGAGCATCTAAGGAGCTCAACCAGATCAAATTCCAACAAAAACTGAAGCAGCCCAACTAACTTAGGGTGTGCTGGCTTAAAAACTTAAGCTATTAGCAGTTTTCCAATGCCATCATTGTTTGCTGGGACTATTAGC